CCGTCCATCCTCAGACCTATCTTGTCACTGTCCCTCCAGCCTCTATCCTCCTCTGTCCCTCTGTCTACCCTCTATCCGCCCCTGTCCCTCTGTGTCCTCCCATGGCCTCCCAAGTCCCTCTGTCCTCCCCTGGCCTCCCCAATGTCCCTCACCCCCCCCCCCCCCCCCGGTCGGTTCTATGCCGACGGAGCCTCCCCGGTCCCTGTAGGACCTCCCTCCCCCACAGGTGCGCCGACAATGCCCAAAATGCCCATTGCCCAAATGGCTGCGCCATGATCTGTGGTTCCAACCTCACCACGCGCGGGTGAACCGTTGGCCACGCCGTGGTTCACGTCCCTGGTTCAGATATGCCCGCATTTGTTCAGGGGAAGGCCCGGAACTAGTGGCTGATAGCGCCGGGATAGTCGGCACGCTCAGCCTTAGCTTCCCTTTCGTTCATGATATCGTTTATTCATAGCGTTAGTACAAAATTAATCCAGGCTAACCGGGAATTGCATCCTATCGAATGCTAGACATAATGCTCTGCGTGTTTAGTATTCTATCGACGACTTGGTGCTGGAATGTTAAAAATAGCAAAAATGAATCAGGCATCCAGCCATCCACCTGGCACCGAATTATTATGAAGCATTTACCTTCTGTGTCTGCCTCGCTGTTGCCGAGGGCCATCCTCCAAGGAACTTTTGAGAGTAGTGATAAGCACATGCGTCGTTAAACTTATGCATCAATCAGCTTGTTATTCTGCCGTTCCGGGTGATGTGGCTGGCGGCTGGTCGTCCGATAATACGGCTAACCTCGCTTAGAATGGGCCCGGGCCATGGCGACGGGCCGCCCCTCGTCAGTCAGTGACTGACAGGCGAGGAGCCCTCCCTTCCCTCCCCTCGGGTCAGGCCTGTTACCGCCCGCGGCTAGGCCGGCGGAGGTGCGTTTGCTTTCGGTTGTGCCGGTGAGGATCGGACACCCAACACCGCGCCGGTCGGGATAGGATAGACACCGGACGTGGGTGCCCCGCCTTTTAGTTACCTGGTTACCTTCCCTGAGGGCACACATTATTTTTTTCTCTCTCAAATATGTGAAGCTGAGGTATGTCGGAAAGACGTGTCACCTTCCACGGAAGTCAAGGGCAGGGAGAGGGGTGGCTTCAAGCGCTAGTCCGGGACTTACCTATCAGTAATTCGTATGCGAACATGGGCACTTACGTCGTTTGATGTGAATATTTTGAAATAGTAACAAGTACCAGAAAATGTTTGTGCAGTTCAAAATGCAATGAACAATCAGTAACACCATGACTGTAGAACGGCACGGATTATAATTATTTTGTTTGTGTACAATTTTTTAAAGTTTGACGGTGCCTATTCAAAATTGCGTTTTGTGGTGTTTGACCAGTGTGGGGTTGACCGTACTGTTGGGCGCCATTCGTAATTGGACTGCATTCTCTAAGGTAGCTTCCCAGTGAAGCCTCATGACGTAGCCACTTAGAACTCCATTTGTATTCGGGAACGTAACTTCATGACCGTGCTGGCAGTTATTGAATCCAGCCTTATCCGTTTTGGCAGTAATTGAATGCAGCTGGACCAGTTTTGACGCTTAATTGAAAGCATGGGTTGACTGCCCGATCGGCGATCAATATCTTGCCTGAATGCCTTAGCCATGCATCTAATGCATTTGGCAGCTGGGTGGCTGGCGGCAAAAAACCTGGCGAGTCATGCCCTGAATAGCCCTGCTGACGTGCACATATGAACGCTGCCGTGGGCATTCACGGACTAAATGCCATTGACTCGCGTCCAGTGCGGCCGTCGGTTACATTACATCCAGTAATATCCACCGAGAAACACGGTCTCACAACTCGGCTATCCATCTTGTCCACAACCAGCAATCGTGAGCCTGAATTATCCGCATTGCAGCCTTTATTTTTAGAAATTCACTCCCGAGTGCTTTTAGGCATGAACATTGGGCTGCATGAAGTGAAGGGAACTATCTGACAGTTGCAATGAACCTGCTCAGATTGAAAGTCATATCAAGATCATTCCTTCACAAATTGTCGTTGATACCGGGTGCCAAGTGTGTGTGTGTGGGAGGGGGGGGGGGGTGCACCCAGCGCTGTCCTCAAACCACGAAGAGGTCGGCAGACGGCGCCCGCTGCCGGCTCCTGTTTGCTCCCGTTGGCTCCCGTGGATCCGCTTCTTGCTGCCGGGGAGCCACCCTCAGCCCTGGAGAGGCGGGGAGCCCGGAACCCTGCTCCCGTTGGCTCCCGGGCACTGGGCAGTCACCGACCGCTGCCGGGGAGCCTCCCTCAGCCCGGTAGAGGCGGGAGGAAGGCTACCGCCCACTCGGCTGGCACGCCCGCGTGCAGAGGCCCGCGTGCAGAGTGGTGTCTCAGTCTCGGGTCGCCCCTCCCCGGCACCCCTGGGCCCGGCACACAGACGTTCCAGGAGCGGGTCGCTAATTCGACCGTGGACGCTGGCAACCGACCTGAGGGCGATGGCCTGTCGAGCTTCTGCAGATACGAGCGACACCAGAGCCGCGGCAATTCCGGTGAATCGGCTACAAACCTGCGGCACAAACATTTACATTGGGGTGGTCATTTTGCGATGTTATGACACGAGGTTATCGTTGAACCGAAAAGTTGCTATAATTACCCTCAAGTATCGGACTGAAATGCCGCTCATAGCCCTAATCATATACATACATGAAAATACCTATGCTTCATGTTTAATGTATGCTTATGTTACTATATACAAAGTTAGGAATGTCCGTGTGGTCAAGTTAGGGTCTGTGTGTTTTGTAAACGGAAAGAGCCTGGCAAATAGTAGCGTTGCAAATGAGGCCGGAGTCCACAAAACAAATCAAAAGGGTTCAACCAGAGCTTCGCTGACAGACGGGACGTTTAAACATTGCAGATTCATAGTATTTGCCAATTTAATGAATTACCTACTTTTTATTTTAACAAATTCATGGCCGTTTTTATCGCAATACTTTAACACGTTGTTTCTTATCTTTGAAGACTGCTCATTTTCATCGTAATCTAAGCTAACATTCAGTGGTTGTACTGTACATATAATAAGTCGCGATGTCTTGAGCAGTGCCATGCACGCTGCACAGTGCACACCTCATACGGAATTTTAAGGTTTCCGACGAGTTAGATGGTTGCCATTGGATGGAACTACTGATTCCGGTCGAATTCGACGCAAAGTGAGATGTGGGCAACACACCTGGACCACGGCCCGGTCGGTCGGTCCGCCTGGAACGTTCGTCCCGTGCTCTCATGGCAGCTGGCCGGCCGCCGCGCCGGCGTCACTCGGTCTGGCCGCGGCAGCTGCTGACCTGCCAACGACCCCCGTCCGCTGCACTCGCCACCTCTGTTGACCAATCTTAAATCAGCGGCATTCATAAATTAGCATTTATGAATATGAATTGTCCCAGTAAAACACCTCCATGTCTACAGCTATTTTTTCTACGGTGCCATGCATAAACATCAGCACGGGTCTAGCTAAAGAGAATGGATATCTTTGACTCACAATAATATCTCTGATCTTGATTCTTCGGTTCATTGGTACGGGCCGGCGTTCAGCCAATAACTACACCTCTGATCATCGATTACCCGTCCTTGCGGCGTTACGAGCGCGCCACGTCACCTCCTACGTAACGGGTGGCGAGGTGCCACTGCCAGCTGGGAACGCAGCGTCTGCCAACAGCGCAGAACGCTGCACCGTTCGAAAACATGACCCGCATCCCGTCCGCCGGCGACCCTGGATGACGGGTTCGCGGTGCCGAATCACCGTGATAGGGTCGTGTCAGGTCACACCTGTGCCCGGCGGCTTAGGCTCGTGTAGCGACACAGAATACAGGGTGATTTTTTTTAACTGTTAAAAAGTAAACGTCAATGGTGGTCCCTAAATCGAAAAATCTTGTGCAAAAAAGCAATGCACGTGATAGATAAATCTGGGACATTTTGTATGGTGTCATGATTTGTCCCTTTTAACCGAAGGCCTCGGCCCCAGTGGAGCCTGAAAATGTCCCACCAATCGGGCACGCATGGTCCACCGCCGTTCAGTAAGGAACGACACAAAACGATGATTTTGAAGCATTGAGGCAGTTCGAAGCATACGATCATCAAGGGGATACCTCAGAAAGACGTTAAATAATGCACGAACAAGCTTGTAGTCATAAATAACCTTCAAACGGTCCATCTGGCGTATGTGCATCCTCTGAAGAATCAGTTGTCTTCTCGCGGCGGCCTATGAAGGGGCGCGAGTCGCGTGGCAGCCATCTCTTGATATTAACCGGAAGCGGCCAAGTGGAAAATTGTTCCGGACCGGTAGTGATTGACATGGAACTGGGTCGGTGCCGGCGGCGGGTGGCCCTCCGCGGGACGGTTGGGTTCCGGCGCAGGGTAGGGGCTAGCTAGGTTCGGTGACGGGTTTGGCCGGGTCACAGTATCCAGGGAATGTCACATCACACTGTCCAGAGCTGCTGCCGCGCGCTGGCTGGTTTCTTAGACCCTTCTGCTGCGCGTTGCTGTCACCAACTTCAAACATTTCTCTACTCGTATGTGATATTAAGGACATGTGAAAATTCAAATTGTTATGGCTTCTTACCGCCTGCATTAATCTGATCTAAACCACATTTCAACCACGGTGGAGGGTACGACGACCCTTTATACTACTTTGTTTACGTCATGTGATGGCTGATGCATGTCACACTAATGCTGATGTTATAATAAAACAGACAAATACGTAAGTGCTGACTGCTGAAGTTGAAGAACTAAATCCACTTGTTTTCGCATCACGCACGGAAGCCCACTGCCCCCCCCCCCCCCCCCAACAACTGCTGGATCCCTTCATCAACTATTGATGATATAAAAAAGTGCCCTTTTATAACTACTATACGGTATACGCCAACCGCAGTGACGTTTGTCGGCCTTTGTAGAGTTATCATCGTGTGCTACCGCTGCCAGTCTCCACCACCCAGCCGCCTGACTCCGAACTCGTTATCTGTTTCAGGATGCGGGCGATGCGGAGGCAGACGCCGACCAGACCGAGCTCAAGGGAAAAGTCATCAAGTTCGGATGGATCGAAGGAGTATATGTAAGTTTTACCGCGGATAATGATTGCTCATCTTTCAATGTTATGCTGTTCGTTGCCTGCATCTTCATGGCAGTTTTCTTTTTGCTTCATCCATTTTTGTGGAAATTTCACATGACCATTGAGTACATCAGCGTCAGTGATGGATTCCCGCCGGTGGCACCCTGTCCCTAACACCCGGCTGACCGGTTGGTATGACGGCAGATGCGGTGCTTGCTCAACATCTGGGGCGTGATGCTGTTCCTGCGTCTGACCTGGGTGGTGGGTGAGGCTGGAATCGGTGAGTACTGAGTACCTACTGCCCCACGAACGGCCGCACATCGGGCCACAATGCGTTATTCATGCCATCTTGGTACTACTATGCTGGCGAATGGCGATTATCAATATTCTCCAGGAATGGGCTGATTAGCAGAACATACTTGTTCATCATTTATGTTTATCATATTTCCTGGGTTTCCTATACATCACTGCTTCTTGAATAAAGTAATTGGGGATAGTCTGTAATAGCACTCCTGTTGAAATCGATGCCACTGCCTCGCACCCTGAGATGATGGACCGTACGAAGCGGACTGTCGGTCTCCTGGCGGGTCCATCGACTGACGCGTTCGTTTGCCGCCTCAACCTCTCCCTCCACCAGTACATTGCAATCAGTGGTAGCGACAGGTCGTTCTACGTAGATACAGCAGCCCGCTCTTGACCCCGACACTTCGTATCCAGTCCCAGCGGACCGCTTCTCATCCGTTCCTGACCTAGCGGACCGCTGTCTGTCCCAGTCCCGGTTGCTATCGGGGCCAGCGCACCGGGCGGGTTTTGCCCCGGCCACGTGGGCGGGCTTCCTCAGAAGTGCAGCGGCTTATCAGACACAAGGAAGCTCAGGCATTCTAACGGATGGAGGAACTCGGATTTCTCAGAAAAGCACCGTTGACATGACTTTGTACCCTCGTGGATTCAGATGAATGGTGGGTAAGCGGACTTCCCTTTCCGCTTATTCCATTGCACTCGCTTTGCACTGTTACCGGTATTTCATTTTTCACGAAGCCACTTATGATAAGTACAGTTAACGGGAAACATATTATCTTTTTGCTGAAGCATTTTATAATGCGTCATTATATTTTCATTAACGGGTGTGGTTAATATTTGCGCGTCACTGAGTTGATTGGTCCTCGATTGGCTGAATATTGACTGCTCCTCCCAGCCGCTAACAAGTGGCGGGGCTGCCCGACACCCGAAACACCTATCCACCTCTTCCCATAGTTCCAGGCCCAACCACTCCTTCCATTATGCCCATTGTGTCCAAATGCCACCACCACTCTAGCATCCGTTCTCCAACAGTAATTACCTATCAAACACGGTAACATCATGGATTGAGCTCGACTGGGCTGAACGCGTGTCGTGTCCCCTAACGGGCGCGAGGGGACGTGAAGTTATCGGTGCGGATTTCCGTTAAGTGCAGGAGTTATTTCAATTCCGGTGTGTTTCCGGTCGAGCCACTGTCGCCAACGCTGTGGCAGATTGATGGGCTATTTCCATTAGTGGGAGAGTGTTTCCATTAGATGAGGATCATAGGATTTGTGGGTGGGAATAGTCAGTAGCTCATAAGCCGGTTTGTTAGCCATTTGTGGGTCACAATTCACGACTGATTTTGGCTCATTTTGTTTACCGTTTCAATGTATTGCTTGCTGGCATTGTATCGATTTGGAGTTCTATTTCAAACGTAACGCAGTTCGCTGTTCAGCGTTATTCAGTGGTCTACTCTACTCTGCTCTCCTACTCTATTTGTGCTGACCAAATGCTGGGTTCGCAGTGCTGGCTCAGACGAATTGTGAATCACGAACGTTTTGGCAGTTCGGCGTTTCGAAGAATGGGAGCATATTTTCGCTGTCTAGCACGTAGTTCACACAACTTTGTGAGAACTCACTGGAATTCGTTATGAGCTAACCAGAAAATGCATGAACAGCGCTGCGCAATAGAACTAACTGTTGGAACTATCTAAAGCATAACCAGGCTGTTGTGTTGGGCGGTAAACCGACTGAAATATCGCAGTCGTGACGGGTCCTCGGTGTATTATTTCTCGCCGTTTTGAAAGGCGGCCTGGAGCCGGAAACAGAGCGGTCCCACCGTCCCGTCGTCCCGTCGTCCCACAGTCCCCCGTAGACCCGTTGTCCCCGACCGTGTCCCACCGAAAACTGGTTTGCTCCGGACTGTCCGACGGCCGCGCCGGCCGCCCGGAACACTTCCCAGGGCTGTGGGAGGGAGGGTCGGGCCGCCGACTATCGCCGCTACTCTTAACCGGGCGGCTATGGTCCGCCCATTTACCGAAATCGCCGAACGCTGAGCGGGCTGAACGGCTAGAAACTCCGCCGAGTTGGCAGATAAACGCTATGTGCCATGCACTGCCGTCATGCTGCCGAACTCGTCGCGTTGGTTGTCGGTTTACTGTCAGAGTAAATGAAGTTAAAGTTATATTGGATCGCTTGACATTACAGTTGACCGTGATTGTTGACCGTTGCGAATGACACTTATGAGACCATCCATTACCGAGCTAGGGTAGTGTGGGGTAATTTGAACATATTTTTACGTCTTCTCCGTTGTACCGAATTCCAGCTCAACCCTGGATGAAGAAAAACTGCTTCAGTAGCGCAAGTGTCACTTGCTTTCACCATGCAAGCCTCATATTTGGACGAGCCGAGCACACCTTGAATAGCATAGCCTCACTTCTCCACCAAGTCACGGTGTGTTCAAATTGCCCCACCGTGGGGTAATTTGAACATACTGCCTTTACCTGTCATAAAAACGATAGTCTCGCCAGACGATAGTCTAGGATAGACGCCAGACGATAGCCAAACGATAGTCTTCGGACATATTTGGACAAATGGCTGACTTTAACATTTTTGAACGGAAATCAACGAAAATGCCGGACATTAGACGGATATTAGACGTAAATCTTATAGAACTGGCATCACTAATCTGCTACTGCTTTGGGTCGAAAATATTGGCAAAAAAAAAAAAACTGGAAGCGTTGTTTTTTTCGAAGCTATCCCTGTCTTCATTGAAATTCTTACACTATGTTCAAATTACCCCATGCTAAAAGTTATTTTACCATTGCCATATTTAAAAACAGGTTTCAAAAGCAAATTTCTTGGATTGAAGGCACTGATTAGGTCATTGTACAACAAAAGCCGTTGCGTATTAGGCGCTAGCAATGCAAGATTTTGCGCTACAATGAAGTTGCAATGACGTTTTTTTAGGCGTTTTTACTTGCGAAATTGATTTTTTTTACAGTGTGCGTCAACATCTTCATTCCCTGAAACTTTAAACCCCGTTCATATGATAGCCTTTTCAGTTACGATAATTTCCCTCATTGGTCTTATTGTCATGCCACTAATGCATTTTCCGTAATTTTGTGTTTTTCACACTATGTTGCCGCACCGGTTTTTTTTTTAAGCGAAAGAAATACATTTATTACATGGACACTGGAAATTGACCGTCGACTGATTTGATCATATAAGCATGAGCCCATCCATTCGGCATCGGCACAGCAACATCTTTAAAGCGATCAACTGCCTACGTGTAGAGCAGAACGCATACAAAATTCACACTTTACATGAGCATTGAGCAGGCCACGGTCCGCTCAAATCCTGGACCTGCTGTTGAGAGTCGGACACGCGCACGCTCCGGGACAGCACAGGGAAGAGGACCGCGAGCGTGTCATGCGCAGCTCCTCTCGACAGCCGTCCGCAGGGGTCAGTGGTGGTGGGTGGTCCGGTGGGTCAGCCACTGAGTCCAGCGGCGGCCCCGCAGCAGACTCGTCATCCGGTGCCTCAATTGACGGAGTGCTCATGCTCGGGGTCAGCCTGGACGATGGCGTCGGTGACGGTCCCGGTCTGTTGGCCGCTGCTGGTTTAGCTGTGGCCAGCACGGAGGCAGCGTTGCCCCTTGCCACAGCGATTGAAACCCTTTGTGCCAGCCAGACTGTTTCTCGTTTGTCCCCGGTGCGGCATATAGTGTTCATATAGTGTATAAATGTTCAAATTGCCCCACATGTTCAAATTACCCCACCTACCCTATCGTCTAAGTAATAAAGCAGCCGACGCTCTATTCAAGTTGTCACCATCCGTACACAATGACTGATAGAGCTCGGAAATATCAGAGCGTGATGCCTGAAGGCAAGTAACAACTATTAATATACACACCTGCAATATCAATCAATATCAATCAATATCAATCAATCAATATCAAAAATGCACATCTCTTTACCAATATCACCGCGCCCGTTTGTCTGAATGAGCGCTTTGTCGTTCGTTGCACTGACCCGGGTTTTGGTCCTCTAGTGGAGGCTCTGGCCATCATCTGCGCTGCGAACATGGTGACCGTCATCACCACCATCTCCATGTCTGCCGTGGCCACTAACGGACAGATTAAAGGAGGTGAGCGGCGACAAGGGTCTGCTGGGTAGCGTAAGGGTGTGCAGGGGAGAGTCCCAGCTTAGCTGACTGCGGAGAGCGGGATGACGAACAAGTTAGATGGGGAGAAGGCTGTTACTGTTCACTGCTTGTTAACTGGTCGCAGATTTTCTGCTCATTAGTCTATTGGCTTTGCGCCGCGGATACAAAGTCTGTATTGAAGACGGAGAAGTTTTATTTGAGACATGCATTTTATTACCCTTTTGGATAAAACGCACGCCATATGCCACGCTCGCTCGTCTATAACGCCTCCCGTCCCTTCCGCAGGCGGTATTTACTACATGATCTCCCGCTCTCTGGGTCCCGAGTTCGGCGCCTCGATCGGCCTGCTGTTCACCGTCTCCAACTCAGTGGCTGTGGCCATGTACGTCGTCGGCTTCTGTTCGTCGTTCAGCGACATGCTGCGGGTGAGTCGATGGATGGATGTCACGGTCTCCAGACTCAAACCTTCGCTGGACCGGGGCGCGGAGTATTCGAGCCTACTCGGATCTCGCGACTGGCCTATAGCGATCAGAAGCCGGCGAGATTGGCGGGCTCGTGTTTGCGCCTTCCGCCGGCGCTCATGTTCGTGAGGAGTCGTGTTCGATCCAGCGGGCCGCCGGACCCGCTGACAGCGGGACCAGTGTTCGCCATGGGCCGGGCCAGCCCAATGGGCCATGGGCTGGGCTGGGCTATGGGCTGGGCTGGGCCCTTAAATATAAAGGATCGATGGGCTTGTGGATGGGCTGGGCCAAGAACTGTACAGTGGAGTCAGGGGTTCGCAAAAGAGACAAAAAATATAATTGCATAGCTTATTAGTGTGCGAGACTCAAAGACGAGTTAATAAAGCACGCATGCAATGTGCATTGGGCATGCTGCTCGCAAAATATTGTTTCTTTGCTAGCTTTGAATACCTGTGTCCAGTGTCAATAATTTGTAATCCATTCGTTTTTGACGGGCTTGGCCGGGCTGGGCTTTGACGAGTTTTACCATGAATGGGCTCGGGCTGGGCCGGGCTGTGAACCCATGGGCCTGGGCTGGGCTGGACTGGGATTTTGCGGCCCGTGGCGAACACTGAGCGGGACCCAGACACGAACGGAGCAGACACTGGACACGGCTGGCTGCCGGCGGGCACGCCCCTCGCCGGGCCGCCGGGCGGCGGTCGGGTGCGGTCACAGGGGTCGGCGTGGGTTGGTGGGGGCTGGTGACCCGACTCCACACCGTACTGGACTGCAACAGACATTCCCTGCTCCCTCTGCTACTAACTGACCGTCTCTCGTCTTACTCCATCCTTCCTCCACCACTCTTCCCCCTGTTTCTCTCTCTCTCTCTCTCTCTCTCTCTCTCTCTCTCTCTCTCTCTCTCTCTCTCTCTCTCTCTCTCTCTCTCTCTCTCTCTCTCTCTCTCTCTCTCCACCCTCTTCTCTCTGCTCTCTTCTCTCTTCTCTCTTCACTCTTCACTCTTCATTCTTCACTCTTCTCTCTTCTCTCTTCTCTCTTCTCTCTTTTCTCTTCTCTCTCTCTCTCCACTCTTCTGTCTCTCTCTCTCTCTCTCTCTCTCTCTCTCTCTCTCTCTCTCTCTCTCTCTCTCTCTCTCTCTCTCTCTCTCTCTCTCTCTCTCTCTCTCTCTCTCTCTCTCTCTCTCTCTCTCTCTCTCTCTCTCTCTCTCTCTCTCTCTCGTCCTTCGCAACTGCAACCTGCAGTTATCCTCTGAGTGGCGGGCGCAGGGTCCCACAAATCCGTGTCGGGACGCCGGTGGCTGTTCTGTTACCGTGTTGCCCAACAGTGCATCGTAAATGTTGGGGCGCGGTGTAGCGTTGTTTGCGCTATCGGAGACGGCCTAGAGCCATTACCTGCCGGCCTTCGTGGCCGACACCGCATTGCAGAGGGTGGTCCGGGAACTCACTGCAGGGTGGAGCTCCCGGAATGCTATACTGGGTAACGGCTGAGTTATAAATAAGCATTATTAAATAATAATGTTAAAAGCAGCTCTTGGAGGCTAGCGTGCTAATGGTTCCCCGATTGTCATTGCTGCATTGATTCAGCTGCCTCGTGTTTATTGTTAGCTCGTCGTGACTACTTATTTCCGTTCGCTACACAATGCCTCCCTTCTCGTACTCCTGACCCCCCTCGTGACGGCACATTCTTTGCGTGTCCCTCTGGCAGGAGTACGCCGGCGAGGACGCCATGATCGTCGACGGCGGTGTCAACGACGCTCGTATCATCGGATCGGTGGCCATGGTTCTGATCCTGGCTCTGGCCATTGTCGGCATGGACTGGGTGACCAGGGTGAGTCGGGGGGTGGGGGGAGTCACGGGGGAGGAGGTCAGACACCAAATGGACTCTGCGGGTCCGGCCGGTCGCCGCCATGGGAGCCGTCGGAGCACCCAGCGGGCGGCAGCGGTTCGGTGCTGCCCCGAGCGCGGGGTCGATACAGCAGACAGGCGGAGACACAGGTGCAGCGGGCAGTCAGTGCGGCCGGCGGCACCCCAGGACCCAGCTGTTCGTATAACCGCACACGGGACCACGCGTCCGGGATTGGCTCGCATAGCTGACGCGCTGGGGTGATCGGGGGAGGTGCGATGGGGTGCAGCCCGTCACTAGACTGACAGACCTAAACCTCGGATTGAAGCTTGCTAAACCTCAGACCGCAATGGCCGTTCTGAGATGGCTCTAAATAATTCACGAGTATTTTAACCCGCGCCCCAGTGGCGGTCTCCGCCAACTTCGCCCTAGTGTGGGGGGGGGGGGGCATATGTTACCACCCACCTCTAACTCAAAAACTAAGAGGGCTAGAAAGACGCGGTAAAAAGCAGTCGATAGCTCTTGATGCGTACGTTTGAAAGTATTTCGGTCACTTTTCATCTTAGAGCAATATTGGGGTCACCAGAGGTCATCAAAGGTCAAAATTTGCGAATTGTCATTATATTTTTTTCAGAAAACATGCCATTATCTCAGGAACTATGATAGCTAGAAAAACGCTGGGAAAAGCAATCGATAGCTTTTGAACTCTTCTTTTGATAAGGTCATCATCAAAAATGACCTCAGGTCAACGGTTTAGCCTCCAGAGGGCAAAAACTCCAAAAATAGCTGTTTTCAAGAAAAGTGTTTTTCGACAATAACTTTTGACTAAAAAAAAACTAGGTCATTTCTAATGCCAGAATCGTGTTCCTCTCGCCGAGACGCGTCGAATGAACTATAATTTGACCTTGAAAGGTCAACTTCAAAATTTGACCTCAGGTCAAGGTCATGACCTGACCGTAAAAGGTCATGTTGCATATCAGTCGATGCGTCTCGGCAAGACAAACACAATGAGGCCAACCCCAGCGTTCTATCTCTTTCCAATCGAGAGTTATTGGCAAAAAACTGTTTGTAGCCTCAAATGACCTCGGATGACCTTTCAAGAGGCTATCAGCAAAAACGACACCTTGGTCGTCACGGGTGGTCCAAATCATCGTTATCCTGAAATATTTGGACTGTTCCTATGCGTACACACGGATCTAGAGGCATTTTCGTTTTTCTCCATTGACTTATAATGGAAAGGTCACGCCACTGACCTGACCTTAGGTCACGCATATAAAAAATCCGAGATATACAAATTGTAGGCACCCATAACATCATGTAATCCACCAAGTTTGAAACCTCTCTGACAAACACTGCAGGCTGGACATGATTGCAAACTTTTTTTTAGGCTTGGTCAGTTAACTTGACCTAATGACCTGACCTGACATGACCTGGGGTCAAAAATTTCACACATTGTCCAAAATTGATGTACCAAAAGCTACCCCAAGCGGCGCGGCGCTACGCGCCGCGGTTTTTTATTTATACGAAAAAAAACGCGACAGGTGGTAACATATGCCCCCCCCCCCACTGGGGCGAAGGTTAACTGATCGTAATTGGCTTCTGTGTAGTTTTCACGTGAAATCATCGCAATATTTTAAATATCCCTGTGTAGCTGTAAGTCGTGTGATCTTTCATCATCTCATATGGTTTACATTAATTCAAACGAAATAAGGTCGTCTGAGCAGTGTAAGAGCACTGAGCAAATGGCATACAGTGCAAGGTAATAGATAAGCAAGTTATCAAGTAATGCCATGTTTGGTAAATAAATGTAATTGCACCTGGGTTCCAGCTTCTCAGTCAGACCATTCGGTTGACGCGCTTGGCTGGCCGCTATCCCTCCCGTTTCCCGGTCATGATTCGCTGAACCTGTCCGGCTCACCTCGGCGCGCTATCGTCGCCCCTCCCCTTCCCCTGGAATCCTGCCCCGGAATCCCCCGGACTCCTCCCCCGGAATCCTGCTCCGGACTCCTCCCCCGGAATCCTGCCAAGGTCTGGTGGCCGCCGCCGGCGCTGGCCGCGCCTTCTCCGCCGGCAGCGGTGGCTCCTACAGACACCTCTGGCCATCAGTCCATGGGGGCGGCAAAAACCGGCCGAAAAACGGCCGGCCGGTCAGCGCTGAGTGACTGCTGACTGATGGCCGCCACCTCAGCGGCGGAGGCGGCTGGGTCCGAGCTAACCCGGCACCCGGGCCCTGGCCCCTGTTTCAAGGCACGCTGCCAGCCGCTGCCAGCGCATTTCGCGAGCTGACGTCACACTTATGGTAGTGTTGGAGCAATGGGCTTGTTGATGTCTCCATGGAAACCCGAATTGCCACGTGTGCTGGCAGCGGCTGGCAGCGTGCCGCTAAAACACCGCCTTGTTCCACCGCACGCCGTTACCCATCGCTACAAGAGATTGACGTGTGGTAAAACAGGGCGCGGGTTGGCTCCTTGGTCTATCGCCCGGTCTTCGCCAGCCCATGCACCCAGCCTCCTCCACCGCTGCAATCCGCCGTTCCTGACTCACCCTGTGCGCAGTCACCTGCTTCTCGTGATTCCCCACATGTCTGACAGACCTGTCCGGTCCAGTCACCGGGCGGAACCGTCATCCTTCTTAGATGCCGGTCCGGGCGTTCCTTGTAAACTAGTGAGACACAGCTGACTAAGGGTTAACGCTGATTAGAAGTACACGGTATTCGTGACTGCTGATATTCCTGTCTGGTGAAGAGATCGCTGATATTCCTGTTTGGTTAGAAGTTGCAGCGAGGAATACGGTCAGAATTAGTAGAATTACGTGCCCACTAGTCGGTGTTATTCACGGCGCCTGCTGCGTACGGCCGGTGACTGTCGTGCGTCCTATCACTGCGTCATTAGGCGTTTCCTGCGCGTGTGGGGAGGTCGCGCCGGGTCAGCGGGGGGGGGGGGGGGCACGTGCGGTCACCTATCTGTGGCCGTGCTATCGGGCGCAGCGGGCGCTTCCCATCGGCGGCGGCGGCCTCTGCGTGCGGCGGCGAGTCAACAGAGGCTCGGCGGCGGCGCGTCCGGTGACCGGGCGGCGACCAGAGGCGACCGACGCCGCTATCGGCGCCTCCCGCCGCGCCGGCCGGCCGTCCGCCCGTCCGCTCGTCTCCCACGGTCGCGACCCCTCCCGAAAACGACCGGTGGCGCCCAGCGTGTGCCGGCTCCGCTCAGCAGACTGATAGCGGCGCCCAGCCTCTGATCCGGATTATGTAATCACCGGGATAATATGGGGGAAAAAAACTGTCATCCAGCGGTTATATAAGAACGGGCGGCACGACCACTTTGATGTCAGTGAAGAAGCGCGGATCTCAGAGCACCCTTCTCTATCTCGCAGGTACAGACCACCTCCGGTCAATGAGTACAACTACACACAACACCACACATGATACACTGAATGGCTCAAGATCGACTTATCGATGTCCTCGTAAGAAATAATGCATTGGTGAACACTGAACACATTAACCAGTTACGAGCGTCGAGCACTTGAAAGTTGCACGTCACTCTCCAGACAGTCGATAATTTAGAAACTCCAAAACCCTAAGAGCCAACAGGACCGCACAGTTCCAAAGACGCGGCTTGATTACTTGATTCCTTCTGATCAACTGGGAATATTGTGTCTCCTTCACGAAAAAAAAAAACACATTATTGCTATGTCATAGCTTAAGTGGTTCTTTTTGATTTTGTTAGGATTTAATTCAAAATCACATCTTAATCTGTTACTCGTCAATCGTCATCAAAGGAGTATCTTACACAATTGTGAAGCTATATTCGTCAAAATTGGTTTGTAGGTAGGTATGCGTATTGCTTATCCTCCGTGCCATCTCTTTCCGTTTTTACATTATTTCTTGGAAAGTTGTTAGCATTTTGCCTACAATGCTTGAGGTTGGCATGGACAATTTTACATTATTTTAGCCGCCCGCCCCAGTCAATGCTTCTTTATAGTGACGGTCGTTTCTGTTCAGGCGCATTTCTGTTACTCAGATCGCCGATCTAAAAATATTTTGGCTGATATGAAAAAGGGTTTTTGTAACGAGCTGATTTAAAGGTAGTGTGCCAGCTTTCTTGGACCATATGGAGTTAATGACCCGGATAAGGAGAACCGGATTTTTAGAACTTATCCATACCTTCAAAACTTATAGAAACGTCTTAAATTCTTCAAATTTTGAGTACCCCAGTGCGAAATTCGCCCCGACGGGTTGTCGGTCGTACCCCAACCACATTTCACACCACTATGAACAATAAATGCACACACTAAAATCGCTATTACCGATAGGCTCATCCAATCAAGTTTCGATAAACCCGTTCATCATCATCTCCTGCGGTTTCGTCGTTTCGAACACGCCTGTTAGGTGGCTTCTGATGCTCGTCGAGGTCGGAATTTCCAAATACGCGTGGTGCGTCGGGCCGCGCGCTCTGACTTCGGCCAAGAAAAATGCGTCAGCTGATCATTGTCATTTCTGCCACTTGCGTGTGGTGTAATGGGGTCATAACTTAAGAGACGGCTGTTTCATATCAATTATTTTACATAAAATCATATTTCAAACCACAAACTAATGTTCGACAGCCAAATTTAAGAAACAATACCAATACAGGCTTACAGTTTAAGGCTCGACATTGTGTTGTCTACGATTAGACAGCTGATAACTCATTCCCGTACGTCGTATGGTCGTAACACTATAATGACCTTTGCTTATTGTCACAAGTGCGCCGCATTCGCGATTGTTGCCCGACGCCTGTTTGCAGGTGAGCCCACTACAGTTGTTATAGGGGAAGGTGGGGTAAGACGGCCCAGCGGGGCAAGACGGACCACCAGCCCTCCCGGCTGAACCGCTGCTGGTATCTACTGCTTTATGCACTCACTATGTTTGTTTTCCTTCGTAACAATGGCCACCTTGAGCTCACGCTGCTAGGATGCATAGCTTTTGAGTTATTGAGAAAAATGTTGTTTTTCGTCAAACCGATCTAATATAAGAGGTCTACGGGTGATTCAATTACGGCGCCTTTCTTGCATGATTAGTTTCTATTTTGCACTTAACTGTGAAGAACAAAGTTATAAACTTAGTTATGGTCACACTTTAGGAAAGGCAAGGTTTTGCAATGTTGGGCTATTTGACATATACGTCACGATAATGACAGAATTTAGATTTGGGGCAAGACGGACCACTGTGGTCCATCTTACCCTGTGGTGGTCCATGGTACCCTGCATATGGAAAGTTCTTTTCCAAAACATTGACACAAGTTTAAGTAAGCTAATTTTTCAGGAAGGAGTCTTTGTTGCATGTGAGCCACGCATGCAAGTGCTCAGTTAGCATGCATTCATGCCAAACGACAATCAACACACATGTTCCCAGCTTTTACCTGCACTTCCATCACACATGAGTAAAGAATAAAGGCTCATTTTGTTATTTTACCATTCTGGTTACTTTTTCTTACAAGAGTACAGAGCAGAAGTGTAACACACATGAACGGATAGCAGGCACTGCTGGGTGGTCCGTCTTACCCCACCCTTTTTCTTGTCTGAGTTTTTGACATGTCCCTCTTTAAGAGCATCCACCACCTATATGTCTTTAATTTGAAATTTAGTCTTTACACATATCAACAGAGGAAGGATTGAGCATTCCGAAGACTATAAATAATATGAATTACGAGAGCAGTGTAGCAAGATATGCGGCCTCAAACCTTAGCTGGTCCGTCTTACCCCACCTTCCCCTACATATCTAAAAACCGATAAACTTTTAGGCGAAAAAGGCACTATTCCAGGCCCATTTTTGATTTTTTTTTTTTTGCGATATTAGGTAAAAACAGAAGCTTCTTATCCTAGGAAAAATAAAACGGGAAATCTTTCAAAGGTGGCACACTACCTTTAAGTTTCTGATGTGGCCGTTTACCGTTTGAACGAGTATCATGAAAGCAACGAGCGGTGTGAGCATCTGTCGCGCCGTGAAACAACTCGCTTATGTCGTCCTCGGTTATTCGAACTAAATGAGGTCCCGCCGCCAGTTTTTGCCCAAGTCACTTCCGTGATTCCTGATGTGTGCTGGCGCTGTCCTGCCCCTGCAGCGTCGGTGTTGGGGTCGGCGCGCCCCACCCCGCCTCCCCCGGCCACTATCGGTCGGTCCCGTGACCGGTCGTCGGTGTAAAGTCCCCTCACCGAGGCACCGGGCGGTGGCGTGATAGGTGTGAACCGGCGCGCGGCGGCGACCCTGCCTGTTGAGACACGGCTCTCGAGGTGGTCAGCGGAGGGGTGGGCCCGGTCAGCACGAGTGCTGTCCACCTCCCCGTTGGCAGATAGGTCTGACGCGTGCACCGGTGTCCCGTGTCCTCCCCCGCTGTGGACACAGCTGAGATACGACACTTCTCCAGATGAAGGGCCTCTCATTGCTATCTGCCTGCAATCTCAACACGCAGTCGCTGTTCAAATTTGATCACCTATCGAGCACCGGCGTTGTTTTCGTAAGTGCTGCCGTGATTCGTTTTGCTAAGCTTGATTGGAACGCACACAGCACGAGATCGCATGTTGGCAGACCAAACCGGTCGCGGGTGGCTGGTGTGGGTTTCGTCACGGCAGTTTGTCTGGCTGGCTCTTTTCCTCTCTTGTGCCAGGTCAAGTGCCTCTCTGCACTTTATCAAGCGGCTCACTGTCAGGGTGGTGCGCCGCAGGCACCCGGACCCACTGACCTTAACCGAGTGGAAAAAGGAGACGGATGGACAACACGCTGTGCATATATTCACGAGACGAACGGGCTGGCGCGAGACACAGGAGGCGATATGCTGAGACTAAGTCAGAGTTGATGGACAATGAAGTCAGTGAAGTCATGCCTTTGTGTCATTTAATGTCAGAACCAGCACCATCGAGGCTTATGCATAGTTAGGCTTCTTCTGATTGACAGGGCAATTTCGGTGATGCAACTAAACTTGAGTGTAGCGTTGACCAGGCGAATCCCATTCCAATCAATGAGTTCATTAGTCTTGAAAGTCGACAAGTGCCACTGATCACTGACCATGTCTTTCGCCAATTAACAACGTGCGCCGAATCGACTCTAGCCTATCACTGACCTTGTCGTCACTTGCAGTTGAACAGTATTGCAACTTAGTCATCTGGATGGGCTTGACTGACTGAAATATTACTCGGGCAGCACTACCCATTTCGTTCACTGTTCAGGAGGCACTTTTCGTGTGTCATAAACGCAACGTGTACCCTCTGCACGCACGCGTTTCTCGCAGCCGCGCTAGTGGCGTGCGCCGCTCTCACGCAATGTCTGTCCGTGCCTCCCTGAGGTCTAGCTGTTGTTCTGTGTGCTGCTGTCACACAATGTCTGTCCGTGCCGCCCTCAGGTCCAGCTACTGCTGCTCTTCCTGCTGATTGCCTCCCAAGTGGACTTTGTCGTCGGCTGCTTCATGGGACCGCAAGACGACACCGAGAAAGCTCAGGGCTTCGAGGGCCTCAGCTGTGAGTCGGGACTGGCGGGGAACGCGGTAGCGATTGGAGGGACTGTAGTCCGCTGAAGTGTTCTTGCATCTCCAGTATGTCACCACTGTCCCCGGTCCCGCCTCCACACCCGCACATGTATCACCGGTCACCGCCGCCGGTGGTGAGGCAGAAATGGTTAGACCAGGCGCCTTGCATTACGCTCACGATAGTTTTGGGTGAAGGGGGTAAAATGCTGGTGCGACTTTCTTACTGCCTTCGCCGCAGCGTCGAGGGATAGCGTAACACCATGTTAGACATTTAGAATAGGCCACTCACCAAGCTCAGATGACGTGACCCGACGCACGACAGAGATGCTCTAGTAACGTTCAAAATGTAAGCGATTAGCGATGTTGTATGTACTTTCCAATAGCACTACATTCATGGTTGGACGTAACTGCATGGCCAACCCGACCCTAGTCCCTCTCTCACACTCTGTGACGGCTGGCTGACTCCTCCTTATCTCTCCCGCTCGTGTGTGCGTGCTCAGTCGACCTGCTGAAAGAGAACGCCTGGAACGACTACCGGCCGTTCGAGGGCATCGACTACAACTTCTTCAGCGTGTTCGGCGTCTTCTTCCCGGCTGTGACTGGCATCGTGGCTGGCGCTAATCTCTCCGGAGACTTGAAGGTGGGTGGGGTGACGGGCGGGGCGCCGGGGGTCATCAGCTGGACGGCAGGTGAGTGTCCTCTCGCGATAGGTCAAAGGGACCGGAGCAGCTCCGAAATAGTGTACGTATACGCTAGAGTCATGACTGCCAGAGTGGAATTCGCCCCGCACAGCCCCAAGCTTTAGGAGTGTAGGAGTCTACGCCACCCTGTTTCACATAATTAAGCATGTTGTGTCTCCCTGATTGTCAGCTAGCTAGGCTCCTCTTGTGCTTCTGTCCCCAATTTTCCCCGGTTCTGTGGTAATAATTGTGTGAAAAATGTCCAAGCTTTAGCTAATGCTCAGTTTTAGCGAAGCTAGATTTGCGTAGTGTTTTTTTGTCCCAACAATAAGTAGCATATAGCCCACCTACCCCGGCTCATATACCTAACCCCGGCTCCCCTGTCTCTTACCGCGCGCTGCGTCGGCCCTCCGCGCGCCCCGTTGACAGTACCCATGTCTCCTACAGGATCCGGCGGAGGCCATCCCCAAAGGAACGCTGCTGGCCATCTTGACCACCTTCTGCACCTACATCGTCTACCCGATCATGATCGCGGCGGCGGCCAAGCGCTACGCCTCCGGTGGGTGCCCTGTAGACGGCCTCTGACCTGTGTCCCTGTGGTTGGCAGGATCCGGCCGAGGCCATACCCAAGGGCACGCTTCTGGCCGTCTTCACTACTTTCTGCTCGTACATCATCTACCCCATATTGATCGCTGCTACGGCACACCGCTACGCCTCTGGTGGGTGATGGGGGCCGATGGGGGCGAGACGCCCCACCGAGCACCGCAGTCGTGATGGGAGAGAGAGAACACACACATCTTGCAAGACGATGGCTCCTCTTTGAATTCGCTAGATGTATTGATTTGTGACTTTCCACTACTACTTTCCGATTTTCGATACTGGAGCAGAAACATAGTCTTAACGATTTTTCGTTGATTTCCGTTGAAGAGAAGCCGTGCTGTTCCAGTTAACGTTTCAAACAAATACCTGGGCGTGGGTTAGGTTGCTGTTTTTCTTCCTTGAATCTGTTGGTCTATCTCGCTTCATTTTAGTGGCAACGTAAGCAGGACACACTTGCTTTTGAGTTCTGAAGATTTACCCGTGGGTTTCGAAAGAGGGAACAGTATAGATGAAGTCTGGCTGAGTTGCGAGTTCTTCGTTTTATTGGTTTTTTTTTTCGCCTTGGAAGCGAGTTTCATGTAAGGTTGATATTAGTTTCCTGTTTTGTGAAGAAGGCACAGCTTAATGGGCGTAGAATGAGGAAGTGTTGCACTACTTATTTGTATATTTTGACTTTCATGGTCACCATTGTTTGCGTTTGTCCTATGAAAATGATAATATTAGCGCTGTCATACCATTCTGCTTTCACGTATAGGGTAAGAACCGAAAAAAAAAAACGAACAATAAACCGAAGAACTCCGCCGCACAGCCGCCACCGTTGTCATTGATTGTCAAATGTAGACTGCCCTTCCCGCCCCGCCCCGTCGTCCGGAGTTTCATGTGCCGCATTGAATCTGAGCTCGAGTAAAACTTAGTTTCTTGCTTGTCCGCTTGCAACTTCTGCTGAGTTCTTGCAGTTTGCTTGCAGTTGCTGGCTAGCTCGCCTTGCGATTTGTTTCTGGTCGCTGCGTCTTTCCGTCTTTTTCAATATCGCACCGTTTGTCTTCCATTTTTGCCTAGTCTAGCCAAGCAACTTCGGAGTAACGTTGTTTTGGTAATAACATTAGAGCATGCAAGTAATGTAACGTAGAAGATCTTCGAGTAGGGATTCGTTAAGTTTTCCCGAAGACACCCTTCTTTTTCCTAGCTAGGTACGGATTAGAACCAGCAGCGACGTTATACACGGGCCATCGGCAGACAGTCCCACAATCCGCTTTGGAGCCGGGTTGTATTCGGAAGCTTTGGCTACTCCAGTATTCATATTGAAGCTTTTTGAACAAGCTACTCGCTTGATATTCGTTGTCGTTCGTCATGCTGCAACAAGCTGTGGAACCACCTTGCAGCTGTCCTGGTAGCGACTATGTTCCATAACGTTCCAGAGTAGAAGCCAGAGTGGCGTAACAAGCAACAAACCTTGAGAGTTTGTTAGCCCACGCGAGGGTGCTGGATGAATAGTCGATACAAGATTTATGTCCTGTGTCCCGCGGACCAAATTTCTCAAAGGTCTGACTCGCTCTCACGCTGGTTAAGAAGCACTGAAGTGAAGGAGAAACATGATGAAGTCACAAGAGCATCCAATATGCTATATGCCTGAAGACAATGCGGAAACATAATGAAACCAGACTCGTCCAGACTCGTAAAAAGAGAATGAAGGGAGGGACTGCAGTTTGAGTATTGGAAACGGCGCCTTACATAGCCACCGTTGGGAGAGAGGTGCGATATCAAACATTTTCATCTACGAGGATGCAGTAGCTCCGGAAGAATGTGCTGAACTGCTGAGATATCGTCGAGTAGGTCTGTTCCCCAAGAACCCGGCGATGAAACCTACCATCCTGTCTCCTGTGGGCTGTTCAAGTTCCCCGGCGCGGTGGGGTGTGAAGGTGCCCGTGTTGTCTGCATTTTGAGCCAGGCCCTGTTTGGGTGTGAAGATAATCTTTAACTCTTTCGATGTGAGCCTGTCTGTATTTGCATGTGAGTCTGCCCCTTGTCAACTTTTCCGCTGTGATATAGAACCTTCCTACTTACCGCTGCTCGTACAAAAAGCTGATTGAGAGATATGTAATCTGTAGTGTGCTGTGGAGGGAGAGAGAATGGGGGCCTCAGACGCGTTAGTGAGTGCTATTCGCCAAGTGAACTGGCCTCGTCAATGACAGATAAGCGATTGCAGTAAGGAGTTATGTCACAAATGAGAGTGCTCACCATTGTAACAACAGAGACAACGGAGACCATTTGCCCGAATAGACGGCGTGCAATTAATGGTCGGTTGTGTATCATGTAGTAACTGAACGATATCTTGCGATATGATAAGTGTCCCTGTTGTTTATCCTTGGGGGTGATCGCAGATGAATTCATCCCCGAAAACTTCTGTTGACAACGATCAAGAGGGAGACGGCACTGCCGGAAATCTGGCGGCGTTACAGTGGGCGCTGAGGCGCGTTGTTAGAGGCGATCAGCGTGACACCGGAATGGTGAGATGTTTCGCTCGGCTGGCGTCTTTAGAGGCAACGGCACAAAATCAGGGGCCGTATTCACGTCGACCTCGTAAGTCGATTTTCTTTCGTAGGTAAGTATAATTTGGTATTCACTTCGACTTTTCTTAAGTTTTTATCGACGGAGTTCACGTGATCAAAAAAGATATTGAGTAGTTCTTGCGTAAGAAAATGATCGGCGTGAATACGGCTCCAGAGATTAAGTGTGTACCGAAACTCTGCAAGCTACTGGACGACTAAGCCTGCCATCAAGACACCAACAGCGGCGTGCAACAATAATAATCACCCGACTCACGTGAGTTTTACTTTCTACCGTTCCGAGACCCCGAAGCTGGTACATTAAGCGTTTGTTGTTCGCAGGCGACATCCGTGAGCTGAACGTCACCGACCCGAACGGCGAGATGAGCATGGACGGCAAAAACGAAACGCTCTACCCCGTGTACAACTGCACCGGGCGTATCGACGACTGCGACTATGGCACGCAGATCAGCAGTCAGGTGAGCAGTCGGGCGCGCAGAGCTTATGTCAGGTGAGCAGTCAGACACGCAGGTCAGCAGTCAGGCACGCAGATCAGTAGTCAGGTGAGCAGTCAAACGCGCAGATCAGCAGTCAGGTTAGCAGTCGGGCGCGCAGAGCAGTGGTCAGGTAAGCAGTCAGATACGCAGATCAGCAATCAGGTGAGTAGTCAGGCACGCATATTGACGGTCAGGCTAGAGCCACGCTTAATATGCGAGAAAACTAGGAGAGGTGAGGTGCAATTACTGGCGATGGTAGCCGCCGGCCGAACGCAGCCGCTCCCCACTGGCTACTGTTTTGTTTTGTGCCATCACTGAATAATCAGTGACGCTGGCTCAATGAGGTTCGATGCTCATTCCATCCTTAACATGATGCATTAGCGTTTGCATCATTGGACCGCCAGCCTCTGTTGCGAGGCAGCGTCTGACGCTCCCACCGTCGGTCTTGGGCAGAGGTGGAGATCTCGGGGGGGGGGGGAGGAGGGGGTCAGGACTCAGGACCCCCCTGGAAACGAATTTTTGGTCGTATGTAAATGGTTCTGCATCCAGCCCGCCTCCATCTGTCCGGCTTGGACCTCCCCCCACCCCCTGCAATTTTGACAGATCTCCACCCCTGGTCTTCGGTGTCAAGACGCGCCGCCATATTCTCTCTGACCCTCCCGGCTCGCCCGCAGGTGATGGGCCTCCTCTCTGCCTGGGCGCCTCTGATCTACGCCGGCTGCTTTGCCGCCACTCTATCGTCTGCCATCGCCTCGCTGGTCGGAGCGCCGCGCGTCCTGCAGGTCAGCGCCGCGTCATGCCAGAGGGTTATGAGGGGTCACGACGGGGGCAGGGCAGTGAGGGGTAATGGGGTATCACTGATTCACGACAGGGTCACGGGGTCATAAGGTCACGGCAGGTTCACTGGGTCACGGCAGGGCCACGGATCAATGATGTGTCAGTGACACAGTGTCACTGTGGTTAGTGAAGTGTTGACGGGTGTCTGCAGGATTACTGAGCTCAGTGAAGTGTCAACGGGTCACTCGGATTACGGGGTCGATATAGCATCAATGGTATCACCGGGTGGTCACGGAAACCTCTAAGGCCACGGACATTGCCATGGGTCGGTATGGCTCTTGCGCTGCCGTATCTGAGGTGGTGGCGCTGAACCCGATGACTGACCGCGCTCTCCGGCATAGGCTCTGGCCAAGGACAAGCTGTACCCGTACATCCACTTCTTCGCCAAGGGCTACGGCGCCAACCAGGACCCGTTCCGCGGCTATGTCATCGTCTTCATCGTGGCCGAGTGCTGCGTGCTGATCGGTGAGTCGCTAGTCACTACCTGTGTGTCTCTGCTCAGTGATGTACTGCTTGATACGTCAGTTTTGTGTGTCCTGATATATTATCCCGCGCGGGGCTGGGGTCTCCAGCCGAACGCGCGGGGCTGGGGGGGGGGGGGGGGGTAAATTTCCCCCCCCCTGTTATCTCCCGAACTAACGGTCCGATATGGAAAATTCAAACGCCAATCGAAAGCTCTCATCACGAACTACTAAAAACATGTACTTAATTTAAAGTTTGAGGTCAAGGTCAAGGTCAGGTCAAGGGTACAAATTGCAAGTTTCTACAGTATCGGCCTTGCACCGTAGTTGCCGAAGAATGGAGTCATGGACTGAGACTGATCGCCCAAAACGTGTTCTTAGGCTACCAAGACAATATTCGTTGCATACAATATCATTCAGAGGTCAAGGTCAAGGTCAGGTCAGGTCAGGTCAGGTCACCAAAAAACAAAATATAGAAAAGGGCATGTGCGACACATGTTTTATGGGTCATTTTACTCATAGAATTCAATAGGCACACTCAATAAGTGATATGGACCACCTCTGGATGAATTTCAGGTCGAGGTCAGGTCAAGGTCAGGTCAAGTGAGGTCAAATTTTGAAGTTGGTTGTTAAGGCCTAAAAAGGTGTCTATCTGATGCAGTTTTTCACGGCGAATCGAATGGTGCTATTTTTGTTTCCGTACGAGGTCTAGAACTTCCAAAAACGTCATTTTTCAAAAATTTTGTGTGTCGTGACGTCATAAAATTTTGAATAACTCCCACATTTTTGAACCGATTCTTCTAAAATTTGGTATGTAGGTGCACATAGACCACTTCTCTGACATATATTCCGGTTTTTCGATAGACTCAAAATTTTGGATTTTATAATGATTTTCCCAAAAAAGTCAGTTTTTTGAAAAAATTTAGGCCAAAATCCAGAATTTTCAAAAAAACTGAGATAGCCATTTGATAGACAAAGTAGAATTACGTATAACCTTTTTTGTTACGTCTTGATTCCTTTAAAAATGAAGATGTTAGCGGCGTTTGAACTTTTGCCGTTTTTGAGGCGAAAATGACGAACATGACGTCACTAAAACGTAAATTTCTCAAAAATTTTCCGACGGATTTCGCTCAAATTTTCAGGGAACGTGTCAAATTGATGTAAGAAAAGGTATTGAAAGTTTGGCGGCGCTGCGCGCCGCCATTTTTGAGATATCGCAAAAATTCGCGAGGGGGGGGGGTAAAATTTACCCCCCCCCCAGCCCCGCGCGGGTTATGTGTCAGTAGTATACTATGTATGCCTCTGATCGGTGTAACTCTGGCCGGTCGGATCTGAAGTGGCGCGGCGGTGGGGACTCGTCTGATGGCTCGCGCCTCTGTCCGCAGGCCAGCTGAACCCGATCGCTAACCTCAGCTCGGAGGTGTTCCTGGCCGCCTACGCGCTCATCAACCTCTCCTGCTTCCACGCCTCGCTGCTGAAGAGCCCTGGCTGGCGACCTGTGTTCAAGGTAAGCTCGGCCGACGGCCTAAAACCTGCTCTCATCCTCCGCGGGCTCTTCATACGTGGTGCACTCCAGAAGTTTTGAGACTTTTTCAGTAGAGACAGTTGTCTGTTCCAGAGAAGCATGAAACTTGTATGACTCTCGAAATGGAACCTCCCGAGTCCAATGCACCTGCTTTAGCGCTCCTGTCACTGCCTGAAGGCCTGCTGATAGGCCTTCAAAGTGAAGGTGCCCAGGGCCTCTGTCACAGCCTCACTCATCTCCTCCACATCCTCCGAAAGACGGCCCCTGAGCTTCCCTGTCAGTCTGGGGAACATCCAGAAGCCAGGGGGCCAGCTCAGGACTGTGGGAAGGGTTACGGACGGGTTTGACGCACATCTGTGCCAGATAGTTCGTCTTCATGGTGGACTTGTGGGTGTGTGCGCTGTCCTGGTGCAGGAGCCCCTGGCCACAGTTGAAGTGTTCCGACCTCTTGCGGCGAAATCTCTTTCTCAACTCCCTCAGAACCTTCACGAATCATTCCTTGTTGATCATCTGGCCGTGTAGGGGACCCAGGCCGTGAAGTTTGTGCCTTTTGTTCTAAGTAAGGGATTAATTTGAGCATCCCAGTGGACTGCGCTATTTGTCTTTATTGGACCTGAAGGAGTCAGTGTGTTTTCTGTCTCTTGGTATCATGATGGTAAAAATACATCCAGCTTTCGTCTCAAGTCACTTGAGAGTCAATTTGCTATGTTTCTTGGGCATTTTGCCAAGCTAATCCCAAAATTTCATTGCACAGCGACCCTCCAACTTGTCTTCACATGAGCAACCTGACTGTATAGTCTCTCTTGAAAGTATCGCGACTCTGAGGGAAGGCGCCACCTGTCCCAGCCGCGGTTGAGCGGAAAGGTTTGAGAGCCGCTGGTAGTACTGACCGAAGCCTGACACGCGGAGGCAGCCAGCGCGGTGTGGCGAGGGGAGTGGTTGCGGATTGCGGAGGGATAGGAGGAGGTGGCAGTCGCCATCCGGTAACTTGTGATGGCAGCTAAGCATGTGGTCAACGGAAGCCACCCTACTCGCAGAGGATTTGTTGAGATTTGTTTCATTGCAAAGTTAGCAATTTGACTCGTCATCGGCACGACTGTCACATTTTTTTTTTGGGGGGGGGGGGGGGGTAAAATCCGGAAACCCGTGCCCATATAGGGTAAGGTGCCTAATTAGCGACCCTTTCCGATTTGCGACCTACCTCCCTACAGAAAAACTGGCGGGAGAAAACAGGGTAAAAACATCGTCAAAAGGTTAGCCATACTTTGGTTATCAAATTTAATTACTTTACGGTTGTCGATGTTTCTGGTGGGACGTTTCAGGTGAGTTTAAATGAAAATGACGAGTTTCTTATCCAAAACGTGTGTGTTTGGGCCCTCTATGATGAAAAGCGATGCACATTAGGATGATGCACCTTTTTTATTCTGAATCGACATTCCTTTTTCAATTGATTGCCGTTTTCCCATAGTGAATCGCTTAACTGTGCACAGCATGGCGGTTAAAAATGTGTCGCAACTCATATTTCCTATTTGCGCCTGACATGGTCGCAAATAGCTCAAGAAGGGAAAAAAAGGGGAAAAGAGAGAAATGAAAATGAGGTGTTGCTGAAGCTTGCAATGTGTGGCAGGGGATGTCAAATGTCGTCACCGACTGCAGGGGTGCCGAATTCAGCGCGGACCTCGAATATCATACGAGAGAGCCCGCAAAATCTGGGTTTCCGCCTTCTTTTCGCCTTCAGTGTATCACGTGATCAGTTTTTACTTACATAAATGTGTTGGATAAACGTTCCTGTTCGAGTGATTGAGTGCTTTGCGTATAGGTTACCTTTTTTGGATAATATTTCATCTTTTCAGGCGTCGCATTTTTTTGCCATTTTTAATATGGGGAAACCCATAGACTTATTAGCGACCCTCCCCGGTCGCTAATCGGGAAGAGTTCCCTATTAGCGTTTTTTGCAATGGTTTGCTAAAATGCTCACTACAAATAAATTAGTGAATATTGGGGCAGAAAATGACTATATTTTAAAAGAAAAATGAACGACCTCTCCGAAAATCAAGCCAGTAATACAGTGGCACCCACAGAGCGTGAGCAATGACGGTTCAAATTAAGGGGGTCGCTAATTAGGCACCTTACCCTACCCAAAAAATCATCAGTTGCTCCCGTTAACAGAATGCATCCGTGCTTGCACATGCACTCGTAAGCGGATTCAAAAACAAGAATTATCTCTCTAGCCAGTTCGCCAATTCACTGTCTAGCCAGTTAGTCCTATATTTGAAGCTCTCTTTTTAATGAGCCGGTTAGTGAACGGCGACAAAAAAAGAAAAGAAATGCTGTTCAGCCATGTTCTTTTTAAAAACTTATTTGATGCCAGGCTCCCCCCCCCCCCGCATGACCTGTTTACGTCATTCAGAAGGCCTCATCACAGTAAGGGTTATGGCGGAACTTCGCTTCGTTGTGATTTTACGCGTCACGCACACTGAGTGATTGGCGCCCAGTAAGGCACACCAATGAGCGCCCGGCTGGTAAGCCCCAAGAGGCACCGGTATCCACCTGGGGCGGTGGACGGGGTCAAGGGAGAGCGATACGAGCATGACCTTTGGACGGCCTCCGCCTGTTTTGACCCAGTTGCCAGCCGCTGGGGCCTGCGTCATATAGCAGTTTTCCTTCTACCGCTGGCGTGAAATCGTGTTACAGCGTACTTTTTATGATACAGGCCATGACCTCCCTACTGGGGTCCTCAAACTGAATGGAATAGTTCGCTGAGCCGCCGCAGCCCAGGACGCGATACTTTCAAGAGAGACTATACTCTACACTGGTCACTGTGACAAGCCGCGTGCGGCTTGCCATGTTCAGGGTGACGCCGTTGCCGTCTTTTGCAACGTAGAAAAACAAAATTACGCAAGTACGTTTATAACAACTGTGGTAAGGACTTGTGAGAACAACAAGTATCTAGCACTGCTCATATGGATTTTACGAGGCCAGTCTCAAAACTTCTGGAGTGGACGACGTAGTCCTTATCCCACCTGGCGCCTTTGGGGGCGGGAGGGAAAGTAATCTTAACCCTCGCACGACCAGGCCATTTCTCATAACACGAACGACCAGGGGGGGGGGGTTACGACCCCCCCCCCCTGGCGTTTCGAAACGGAAGGTCGTAGAGCTTAGCGGAAAAAAACCAACGGATTGCTCTCAACGAGATCTCGCGATTGGTGGTATATTTTTTGGTCCTAGGTCAACATTTGACCTACTTATGACCGGTCAAAGGTCAAATTTTCCGAAAAAATCAACCTTTTTCAACTTTCCGCGGCGATTGCGGCAAAACGGTGGGAGATATCGACTTGAAACCTTCACTATCGTGTTCCTTGATCAATTCTCTACCGTTTGGTATGTATTTCGTTTCCCTAGCTCTAAAAATGGCGCGTTGGGAGCGCCGGAAGTCGGCAAGATCACAGTCGGCGGCAGAAATTCGAAAAATCAAAATTTAAATTTTTGAAATCTGATTGTATTTTTGGATTTGGGAGGTCCATTTGCTCCCTATAGAAGCTAATATTGCTGCATATTCCCATTGAGGTGACAAGAATTAGCAAAATAGTGGTTCGGGCGCTTTTCAAAAATAGTACCGGACGCTGTTCCTCTTGTGACGTCATAGCTCCGTGACCTGACCTGACCCGGTCAATTTTCTTGCACCACACGATAGCCAATGCTTGCCCCAACATGCATGGGAAGTTTCATCATGATCCATCAAACAATGTGGGTATCACCGGCAGAAAACCTAGGGATTCGGCGCACACGTTTGGTAACTGTCGGCCGGAGGCTGTACCTCTTATGACGTCATAACTCCGTGACCTGACATGACCCGATCAATTTTTTTTCGGCAAAAGATGCGCAAAGGCTGCCCCAGAGGGTATTGAAAATTTCAGCCCGCTACGACAAGCCGTTTAGCGTGCACTTCGAAAAAACCTCAGGGGGGGGGTTGATACAACCCCCCCCCCCCCTAGGCGTTCTAGGGTTAAACATAGCCATGGGGCCATGGGCACACGAGTTCAAATATTGGTATAGATGCTGCTTTCTAGTAGAAACGCACGTATGCACTATGCATCTATATATAAGCACGATATATAAGCACACTCGTTTTCTGTGGGACTGGCAGATTATCCGGCCTTGAATATGCATGTTCTGGTGTGTGCTACTCTACGCAGGCTGACTTCGCGACGTTGCACATATTTCAACAGCGATACTCTCAGCTGTCTCGCATGTGTGTGCCTGAGTGTACAAGTACCTGCGCCTTTGGCCGTTGATGTACCCGCGCTGTGCCCGAGTGTTCTCCCCGACTGCCTTCTGTACCCTGCTGCTGCTGTGCGCTGCCGGTCGTGTGACCGCCGTCCGGCGTGTGCGTGTGCCGCCGGCAGTACTACAACGCCTGGGTGTCGCTGCTCGGCGCCATCATCTGCATGGTGGTGATGTTCCTCTGCGACGCCATCATCGGCACCGTGGTGCTGGTCATCACGCTGCTGCTCTACCTGTTCGTCTCGTACCGAAAACTGGGTGAGTCGCCGGATCGGCCCCGACAGTCGCCCGCTCTCCGACCGACTCAGTCCATCCCAGTATAGCCTAGCATGGCCCAGCCCGATCCAGCTTAGTCCAGTTTGTCCCGGTTCTGTCCAGTCTCCAGCCCAGCCCGTTCCAACCCACCCCCGTCTCCAGTTCGGCGATCTAATCCTGTCCAGCCCAGTCCATTCTATATCTCAGTCCAGTTCCAAGTGGAAATTAAGAGCCTGTCGGTCGGTGACCTACCGATGTCCCGGACCAACCCTCCGCGCCTGCTGTACGCTCCAGAGGTAACGGTCACTGATTGGTAATTCCCACACGCGCGCGCCAGCCCCTGGTACGTCGCTATGCTATTTCCGCCCGGCGGCCGTCGTGTACACTCCCTGCCGTGCCGTGCCGTGCCGTGCCGTGCCGTGCCACCGCCTGTCGCTGACAGCGGATATCTCCGCCCGGTCGGCGACACGCACCTGGACTTATCGAGGAGCGCCGATCCACTGTCGGTGCTGGGGTCAGGTATCGACCCGAGTCCCGCAGAGCACAGCTCCCCATATCGACCCCTGTTTTCCTATATCTACCCCAGAGTCCCATATCGAGCACAGCTCCCCAGATCGATCTCAGTTTTCCACATCGGTCACCGTTCTCTTATTGACGGCGTCCGATGGGTCCTGGCTGAGTGTGACACTACGGACCCGACGCTCGGCTGACGTGATATGTCACTTCTATAAATGGACACAGTGGAACGACCGGCTTTCGTCGATTTCGAATAGTCCGTGTAGCTACCCTTTAAATGCCACGTGATAGTCGGTCTTACTTTTGGTCTGTTCAGTTTTGACCCTCAAGACTTTGACCTCTGGCTCCCTGAGCTGTGACCAATGACTTCCTGACCTCCGGCCCCCTGACCTCTCAACCTTGACCTCTAGCCTCCGATCCGCTGAACTGTGGAACCGTCCTGACCGCTGAGTCGTGTCCTGTAACTCCTCTACGCCCTATCCGGTTATCCGCTAACTAACCGGCACCCGTCTGCGGCAGACGTCAACTGGGGCTCCACCACGCAGGCGCAGACCTACGTGACGGCGCTGGGCTTCATGCAGCGTCTGAACCAGGTGCGCGATCACGTGAAGAACTACCGGCCGCAGGTTCTGGTGCTGTCCGGTATGCCGGGCGACCGTCCGCCGCTGGTCGACTTCGCCAACGCACTCACCAAGAACCTGTCGCTGCTCATCTGCGGACACGTCGTCAAGGTGCGGCCGGGAGAGGTGGTGTGGGGTGGGGAAGAAGCTCCAGGGGAAGAGTCAACGTCAGGAGAGCTGAGATGCTGGTCAAATCCCGTAGTTTTACGCCGATGTTTTTGGGGCATTGATAAAAGGGCGTGCTTTCTTTTCTTTTTCGCCTTTTCAATCAAGATTAGCGTTCTTTTCCAATGCTGCATCGCATTCTTTATCATGACACATGTCTAGGTAAACTACATTTGTAAGATGGCCCTTCTGTCCCCCAGGGCCCGATCACACCGCGTGCCAAGAGCGCCATCCAGAACCAGGCTAACGCGTGGCTGCAGCGGCACAAGGTGCGCGCCTTCTACAGCGTCATCGAGGACCAGAGCTACGAGCACGGCGCCGTGGCGCTAATGCAGCTGGCCGGCCTCGGCAACCTGAAGCCCAACATGACGCTGATGGGATACAAGAACGACTGGCGTACCTGTCCCCGGGATGAGGTGCAGCAGTACTTCTCCTGCGTCAAGTGAGTGGCCGCGGAGAGGTCTGATCGCCGGTGGGATGGTTGGACTCGTGACGGGATCTCAAGTGTTCCTTATCAGGTATCAATGGCTGGGTTTGGTGTACTTACATGCGTTGATTGTAGACCTGGCGGGATGTTGAGGTTTGTGGAATGTCCGACCCCGCCGGCCTGCCGAATTGAGCCGCTATCCTACCCACAGCGAGGCTCTGGACAACTACCTGGCCGTGGCGATCCTGCGCGTCAAGAATGGACTCGACTTCAGCGCCGAGATGGGCGAGGACCCGAATTCGCCGCTGCACAAGTCCAATACGAGCACCTCACTCAAGGGTGAGCGGTGGGGGTCAAACAGACTTAGTTACCCCCTTACTCGCCTCAGTATGTAACTCCCTTTCGACTAGCTACACATACGTGGGACGGTGGGAGCAGTTAGGTGTCAAATGCACTAAGTGGATTGAACGATAACAAGTACTTTATTTCTGTTGGCCTTATGTCAACCTATCATTCAGATAGGGCCTATAAGCAGCTGCACCGAACTCACCAGATTGTCAGTGTCTATTATGACTTCACGTAAATGCCTTTCGACGTTCTCAACCTTACAACAGCCTTTTGCCGATATCGATTGCTTTGTCCAGAGGGATACTGGACGTTTTATCCCTTCTATCTCCTGTCCGCGTCCCATGTCTTTGCCGTGAGTTTTCTCCCCACCACTCCGTGTCTTTGCCTCCCATCTCCGGTATTAATCTGACGCTCTCGCCGGCGGCAGGTGATGGAGCTAACGGCAGTGACGAGGGCAGTGACGAGCCCAACGACCGGTCGGCCACCAGCGGGGACGCCACGCCGCGCGTCACAACCGTCGACGGCAAGAAGAAGAACGGCGAGGAGGTGGGTGTTCGAGCGGAAAAGTGCTATTTACAGCGCTTCTGGCACGGTCAAAAGTTGCTGACTTTTTCCGACATCGCGATTTGCTGAGTGTTTCACTCGGAAAATGCTAGAAGATTCTTTCAGCTTAAGCAATGCTGTTTAAGGAATGCGAATGCGATTGCTAGCTCAAGAAGGACATAATATTCAACGTGTTTATCTGCAAGTTATCTACGTAACATGAAAGACGTTTTTCATGACAAGCGAGGGTAGAGCCGTCAATTTTGCCGGTCCCCGAACAGTCTGCAACCCGTCGCCGTTCCTGACGCCGCCTGCGCCGTGTTCCCAGGAGCTGTACGTGAGCCGAACCGGCGAGCCGCTGCCAGCCCAGGTGGTGGAAAACCTCACCCAGTTCCGCAGCAAACAGAAGGGCTTCATCGACGTCTGGTGGCTGTACGATGACGGAGGTGAGCTCGACAATCTCCTTCCGCGCTGCCTTTTGTGTTCGCCGTAACACTCTCGCTCGCCGCTGTTGTAGTACCTGATACCAAGTCTTAAAGGGTGACTCGCTTATTGCCCGGCAGTTGCCTAGGATTTTTTTACCATTGCGATAGCTATTGGTCACGTTTGGACGCATTTTGGTCCTTGCAGCTCGCAGACTCCCGAGCCGTACCCCGCCCCTCCCGATGTGACCGTGCTATTTGCCCGTCCAGGTCTGACGCTGCTGCTGCCGTACATCCTGACGTCACGCTCACAGTGGGCCGACTGCAAGCTGCGTGTGTTCGCCCTGGCCAACAAGCGTGGTGAATTGGACACAGAGAAACGCAGGTATGTGACTGAGCGAACTGAATTACGAGAAACGCAGGTAGGTGTTCCGAGAGGGCTGAACATTATGTAGAAACGCAGGTAGGTAGGTATCTTAGCGAGCTGAACACCTGGAAACGCAGGTAGGATTCATTCTGAGCGAACTGAATTCCGAGAAACGCGTGTAGGTGTTTCGAGTGGCGGCGGAAGACATCGGGGGGGGGGGGGGGGGGTCAGCCGGGGAAGGAGAGGGAGGGGGTACTTAGGGAGTGCACCACTCGGGATGAGGGGGGGGGGGGAGGTGATCAGGCTGGGTCATCATCACGTGTGTATGAGTACTTGAGGATAATTCTTTGCGCGGACAATGATAGCGACAATGCGCTATAGTTCAACAGGAGTGCGTCGGAGGCATCGCTTTGTGATAGAGGATGTGACAAATGCCATTCCAATGCGGCCTTTCACGGTAATCTGTACCCACTGGGGTTTCACTAAGAGTCTTGTGACTCTTCTAGAGTGTCTGGGACGCTCCTATCTGATCGTTATCGATAAGTCTATCACATGACTGACCGCGCCTCTGAGTGCGGTGCGTTTCCGCTGCCTTTTGTTGATTACATGTCGTTTTAAGTCCTGTGTACATTACCTGTAGTGTGTAATTCTCAGTATAATGCTCCTATTCATCGCTATCACACATTTGCAGCATGGCGGCGCTGCTCTCCAAGTTCCGTATCGACTACAGTGACGTCATTGTCATCGATGACGTCACCAAGAAGGCGGAGCAGTCGACCCGGGACACGTTCAATGAGATGATCGCCCCCTTCAAGAAGGACGACGAGTCGGACATTCCAGGTACCGTTGGGACTTGGGAGCTATCCTGGTCACCGTCATCAAAGTACTATCTCCGACCGTCATCCGCTTTTTATAGTGCTCACGTATAGGGATTTTCCACGGCGCCGCGGGCCGTCACACAAGTATGTGGAAACGGCATGGTTGTTATATAAGAAGCTGTTTTATTTCTTGTCTCCCAAGCCGCCGTGGCATTGTTGTTGAGTCATGTTGGCCGCTGAAATTCCACGAATCTGTTGGGTCGTTTATGTCCAAACTTCCCTGTGTAATGCCGCGGATATGTCACAAGAATGAGTAATGAACAAAGTCTCCGGCTAGTGTTATCTCATCCATGGCTTATATTCCGCGGACCCAACATGGTCTCCAAGGGGGAGTGAGAGTCTCGATTGACCTAAGCAGGTTTCATTTTTCGCTATAGGTCTACTTGCACGGATATTCCAATTTTGCTATGAACACACGAACAGTTAATTCTGACTTTGACCCCACTCTGTGAGACTATTGACGGCGTGAATGCCATGAGAAGCTTAGTGCGAAAGTGTTAGAGTGACATTAAGTGTGAACTCTGTGAATGACCCCGATGTCAGTTACGTGAGGGACCTCCATTTTGGCTTCGTAAGTTCCGTGAGCTACATGAGTGACCGTGAATGAGTTCCCTGAATGACCCCGCTGTAAACCCTGTGAGTGTCTGAGTGTCCCCGACATGAGCTTCGTATGTGACCCGTCCCCTCCGCTGCACGGCAGACGAGATCTCCGTGACGGACAGCGAGCTGTTGGCGAACAAGGATAAGACGAACCGCCACCTGCGGCTGCACGAGCTGGTGCAGCAGCACAGTAAAGACTCGTCGCTGGTCGTCATGTGAGTAACCGCCTCACCGCTGGGGGCGGCTTTACCCTGGACTGGGGAAATGTGGCTAGTTTGGACCACCACGACCCACCGCACTGTAGGCCGGCAGCCTGAAAAAAGCGCTAGAAATTCCCCCAAACTGACTGTCCGCAATATGAACAAAATAGGTATCATTTAATCCCAAATTGATCGAAGAATACGATTCCGATGCTAGTTTTGCCCTAAGATCAAAATTGAGGTCGTCAGATGTCACCAAACACAAGACAATTTAGACTCTCTATAGGCCACCACATTTACCGATTTTAATGATGAACTTAAGTGGTAATTTATTAGTTGACCAATCGTCGTTTTGAACGAAATTTCCTGTCAGACTAGTTCAGGGCACTGTTGTTCACGGTGCCAACATCATTCTGACATATCGCATCGCTTTTCTGCAAGATAAGCTAGCTGTTTGCAAGCAGCTGCAAGACGAAATTTAAAATCATATCCAATTTTTTAATTAGACTTTTATAAAAACGTTATTTCGAGCGGCTAAAAATGAACATTTCATACTAGCCTCTGATTACTCATCTTTTGTTCCATATAGGTGCTTTGCTGCTTTTCCCTGCTACTTTTCGAGATATGCGCCAGTAAACCACATGATGTAGGGGCAATTGTCACCTCGCCGCTCTACTGAAGGCCCTGCGCTCTTTAAAACGCTGGAAGTTGTGAAAAACAAACGCTTATAATCTAAATGAAATATATGTCCCTGAGCTCAGAATTGATCAACGCACACAATGCTGTCAACATTTCTGGGCCAAACTAAAAAATTCAGTCATTATTAACCCCTAACCACAAGTCAGTGATAATCAACAACAACTTGCTCTTTAGTTAGACTTTTTGAGAAATGTTACTTCGAGCCGTTAAAAATGGCCATGCCATACAAACCACCAATCATCTTTCTGTCATGCCCTACTCGCAATTTTTGCTAATGCCTGCTACTCTTCGAGGTCACGTGACCTCACCATTAAAAGTGAATGGGGAAATAAGGAAACTGTTGTTTTTGCGCATGGAATGATTTCAAACTATCTCAAGCACACGGAATCGTGATTTCGTGCACTCCTTGCAAGATCCGATGCTTTACTTTTGCATTTTTAACCTTCCGTGACGTCATTTATGACGTCACACCGGTCATAGGAGTTTCTCGTCAATAACTCATGATCAAATTGAGCCAGCGACTCGGGAAAGCCACCAATGGACTCGGGAAGACCTCCCGAATCGAATGATATGCGATACGACCTCCTTCGATTAAGTTCGTGGCCTGATGGCATAGACCCGGGAACAGGGGGGGCAGCGGGGGCGCTTGCCCCCCCAACTTGAGAGCCGAGGGGGCGGCGCCCCCTCAACATTGAGACAGCGTGAAAGGATCTTTCTTCCCTTTCCGGACTTCTTTCCTTCTTGTTTTCCATCTAAACATCATCACACGGCATTTTCCTAGCCATCTGAATGGCTTCTGCTGATACAGTATCGATTTCACAACATCTGCTATTGTCATCCCGCTTTGGTTTGGGCCTGGCCTTGGCCATGAGTTTGGCAGGCCAGATTTTATACTAGACCATTTTGAGAAAACTTTGAGAAATATATAACGTACAACGGTGGTAAAATCATTGCTATAATATAGATATAACACAGTTTACCCGCTCCGGGTGTGAGGGAGGGGTGTGGGGCAATGAGTGCACTGACGTGGCGCCCTCGGAAGGCCGGTATCTATGGGATTAAAGCTCAGCGACACTAAGGGCTTGTCTGATGCATTTGGTTATCGGTAGCACCCTCAGAATCACCGGCGTATAGGGCCCTCAGAGCCGCCGGTAAGGGGCCTTTAGAGGCATTGGTATGGGCCGCGATGCAGGTGCCGGTTCGGGCGCACAGAGGTGCTAGTGTGATTCTCTCAGAGGCGCCGGTGAGGGTCCTTACAGGCGTTGCTCTGGGATCTCATAGACGCTGGTGTGGAGCCGTTACAGACGGGTGTGGGGTCTTTAGAGCTGCTGACGCGAACCCTCTACAAACCAACAGGGGGAAACCCAACAGGAACTACAAACCAACCAGTGACCGGCACGGGGCCCTTAGGCCGGCAGAAGAAGTCTTGTGGGGTCCTTAGAGACCGGCATGGTACTGTCAGACGCCGGTGGGACCCTCAGGGCTCAGAGTCACCTGTGTGGGGCCCTCCAAAGTTTCCAGTGGGTGGCCTTTAGATGCGCAGGTGTTGACTGTTGGGTCCTCAGAGCCGCCGATATAGGGCTTTAAAAGGCACTGGTATAGGCACTCAGAGTTGGGGGTGTGAAATGCTCAGAGACACCGGTGTGGGCCCTCATAGGCGCCGATGAGGGCCCCCTCAGTTGCCGTTATGGGACCCTCGGAAAAATAAGTGTGTGACCATCACAGGCGGAAAATGCCCCTAGAACTGGCCCCTCATAGGCCGGTAAGAACTCTCAGAGGCCAGTAACGGGCCTTTGGAGTTTGGAGACCACCGAGGGGCCCTTAAAATCTGCAAGATTCCCTCAGAAGCCGGCGTGGGGCCCTTGTTGAGATTTTAGTGTGGTTATTTAGGGCCCATAAGGTGCACTAACGAGACCTATGAGGCCATTCTGAGTCGAAATATGGTCATCGTTAATCCTCAGCGGTCAAATGGCACCGCAGGTCCTCTCGGACCCGAGGGTCCCTTTCAACCCGATGGGTGGGGGGGGGGGGGGGGGGGGGGGGGTACGTGTCCCCTTATACCCCTAACTACGCCACTGCTTCATATGCATCATGTCAGGCATTTTAGGCTCGCCCCCCCAACTTGAAAATCGTTCCCGGGCCCCTGCCTGATGGGCTCTGAACTGACCTTGACTCGAGGTCAATACCTTAAGTTGACCTCACCCGAACAAAAAGTATACCATTCGACGCGCCTGAGCCAGGCGAACACGATGGTGTCAAAATCGCTGCTCTGCGGCCATTTTTTGCGAAATTATTTGCCAAAAACCAAACCCTACCTTGGGCTTTTTGACTTCACCTCAGAGGTTACCGGTTGACCTGGGACCTTAAAATCGGGTATCAATCGTTCCGCCTTGAAACGGCGCACACGCTTGTTTTTTCCGCGAGGCTCTAGCTCCATTAGGGGCGAAACGGCAAAAAGGGGTCGTACCAACCCTCCCCCCTCGGCCGGCCGAGGGGGTGGGGGGTCCGACAATAGGTCCGGCGAGGGTTAAGCAGCCCCACTTCGTTTTTAGCATGTTTGCTTGTCACTGAGATCAACAACTCAATCACAAATAATTTCTAGCACTTTTCCGGACCCCCGGCCCAGTGTGCACCGGTGGTCACCCCTGCCGAACCCTCCCGCCCGGTGGTCACCCCCTTCCCGGAAACCCTTCCGCCGGGTGACCACTGCCCCCTGCCTAAACTCTCGCCGGGTGGCCGCTGCCCTCTGGTCCCGTCCTGGCCGCTCCCACGGCCCCGCCCGCGGCTAGGTCACAGCCCCAGACCCCCACAGCGGCCGTCGGATGCCGATAGGACGCCACTGAAGTGGCTCATAGACCCTGTTTACTTTGGTAAGGCGCCGCCGACTCGAAACAGTGCCATCGGCGATTAAAGGTAGATTAGGCGGCGAATGTGGGTCTGGGATTGCGGCTGGTCGCTTTGTCCCCCCCCCCCCTCAGGGGAGATATCTCCCTCTGCGGTGGCTGCGGTGGCGGTGGGAACGGAGGGGATATGGGTGTCTCTATGTGTCTCACCGCCCGGCCGAGCCGGCTGATACTGGCTCCGATAGCGGCGATGGTACAGCTTCGATCGACAGGCGGCCGAAAGATTCCGCCATTGGGTAATCAGCCGTGAATATATTTAGAGCACCGCATGATCGGAATTTTAGGCACCAAAGGTCAATGCTGTCTCAGTGCGTCTTCATCCACAGTCTTTGCGTCTTCATTGGATCATTTTAACGTTTTTCATGCCAAGTTTTATCGATGACCTTGTAAACTTAATTCAATTTTACCTCGAACGTTGACGAACAAAGTTCTCAGCGCTGAAAACCGTGGCCACGGCGAACTACAAACTGGGTAGTCATGTTCAAATGATGTAGGATGTGTCCGCGTGTGGATCTGCCGCATCCAAGCTAAGATATCGGTACGTTACGTCTTACGACCCAACCAACTTTAGCCTGGTGCCGAGTGACCGATAGTTCCGAACCCGAGTGTCATATGACCCGTGACTGACTGTGTAACTAACTCTGCCCGCAGGACGCTGCCCATGACCCGGAAGGGCACCGTGCACGCTCCGCTCTACATGGCGTGGCTGGAGATGATGACCAAGGACATGCCGCCGTTCCTGATGATCCGAGGAAACCAGACCTCGGTGCTGACCTTCTACTCGTAGTGCGCGGCCTCTGGGATGGACTGGTGGGCGGGGTAGGGGGATCGGCGGCGCGCCGGGAGCTGCTGACGGGGCCGGTCGGCCCGGCGGGGGCCAGCGCGGGCCAGTCAGGCCCAGTGGGGCCACATTGTGAACGTGTGTGGGGAAAACAGTGAGTCTAGTTCAGTGGCCGGGACGGCGCCGGGCTAGGCATGTTTCAGTTCCTTGCTCAAATCCGACATTGTGTGCCTTAGTAGTGTGCGTGAAAAGACAGCCTTTCGCCATGACATCGTGTCTTGTTCCGAAGTTTTAAGATCGATTTGTAGATGGTTGTTTGTTTAGGGATTTCCGGGCGGTGACTGCGTGGAATCGTGGAGAGCAAGCTGTGATTGATATCTTTTGGAGTATTTCATATGTATTAGCGGTATCGTTTTTCACAAAGTTCGGATTCCATATCGGTTTTAAGTGCCGTTCGTACGATTGTTTACCCCAGAAAGACTTTAATTGTGGGCTGATTGAGCATAAATATCACGTCTTCCAGCCGTTGAATCGTTTGTATGTGCCTCCAACAACGAGATATGTTAATACATCAGTTTTATGAGCCCCGTGTTTTAGCGTGTTTACATCGTATGAGTCCTGATTAGACTCAAGGCTCACCGTGCCGAAATGACTGAACTGGCGTGATTTTAGATGTGAATTTATGTAATACCGCGACAGTTGGCTAGGCAACACCCTTATGTATCCCAGACGGTCAGACTCGAGAGTTCATACGCCGGTGTCCCATTTATAGATCCGTTCAGCGGTGGAAGTCTTGTTTGCTACGTTTAGCCTACATTCTATAGAAGAATAGGTAAACAATTAAAGGATTTAGCGTACAGTATATTAGAAGAAAAGAAGAATCAATAACACGGTTGTCCGGTCTCTGGAACGCATCAGGGTAAAGGATCACATGTACAAGTGCATTCCAATTCACTTTGCTAATGCAAATATATAGGTGCATTTCGGCAGCGCAAATCTCGAGGCGGGCTTTGATCACCTTTGAATGTGGCTTCAGGCTTGTTGCACCGACTGGCATTGACGTGAGGGATGAGGATGCCGGTCGATAGAAAATGTGAACGGATGTGTCCCTACTTTACTGCCTGTCGGGGAACTAATCTGAGAAATACAGTGACTGGCCGTGAGCGCATACGGAAATCGATCCCTCAGCCCTCTACTATGTGGCGGACCGCCGAGTGACGCGGGTCCGGACTTCGGGTGGTAGTAGCTACTAGCTACGTTGCCTTTGACATGATTCATCGCAGATCAAAGATGATGGACATTCAATAAAATCCCTACTCGGAAATGAGCAAACTGAAGCATCCAGGCTAACTACCCAGTGCCTTTATAATCAGAATTAGCCTTTTGTACCTATGGGTTATAATGATTAGTGAAGTTTGCATTTCCCGGCAAATGATTTATGATGGTCTACAAGGTGAAGGTTTCTTTAAATTTGGTAGCAAGCGTTTCGCTCAATTAGTGCTGCCATCTATGACGTTTTCCGCCCAATTCTACGAATGCGGCGCATTATTTGTCTAAAAACGCTGAAATCTAGCGTCTTTTTCTCTCGCGAAGAGGACTTTTGCTGCTTGATTTTGTCATTTATTGAAATAAATTGAGGTAAGTTTCAGCCGTTGGATGCTCTGAGCAAGAAGAATGAACTTATCCGATCTGTGTAGAATTGATTATCTTTGTGTCCCAGACATTAAAAGCACGGAGAACGCCATTTTCCAGTGTCTGGGAAATCTCGCTATAACGTCTTGGGAATGTTTGCAAATAAATCAAAGTCTGATTTTCTATTTTCGAGAAGGACGCGTGTATTTCGAGTCTAGAACGTCATTTAATAACTGGCAGCCTGTTGCTTAAATCAACTTCGAAGTAGATTTACACAAAGCAGGTCTCCTGATTAGATCGACTCAGATTTGAGTAGAAATACACAGGAAACCGCTTTGCAGTAGATCGACTTCTGCATGTCGATTTACACACGGACCGGTCGCGCGCTAAAATCTACTCGGATCTGAGTCGATTTACACCATGACGACTCTATGCGTATGTTACGTCGGGAGTTTACACACGGACCGGTCGCGCTAAAATCTACTCGGATCTGAGTCGATTTACACCATGACGCCTCCATGCGTATGCTACGTCGGGAGTAGTTCTGACGTGATTTAATCAGGAAGACTGATTGGTGTTTCTGAAGTGCGGAGTAGTTTTGACGTGATTTAATCAGGAAGGCTAACTGGTGTTTCTGAAGTGCGGAGTACTTCTGACGTGATTTAACCCGTGATTCGCTCGTATTGATGTTTTGCAAGCCGCGAATGTATAAGGGGGTCCAACGACGCCCCCCACCCCCACCCCATTGCCTTTTGGCCCCTGATCGAGCTAGAGCTTCGCGGAAAAAAAACGAGCGTGTTGCCCGTGACGAGAGGAAGCCGATGATACCCAATTTTAAGATCTTAGGTCATTGGTCAGTTCAATGACCCACACGGGAACATCGGGACCTGTTAGAACGTCGTTAAGTGTGGCTGCCATGAGGTTTTTCGGGGTGCTGATGCCTGTTCAGGAATATCATGGTTGTTTTGTTCCCCGGGGAGCTAGGAAAGACACCATGCCGTGGGCCCTCCACGCGGACCTCCATAAGGCGATCCAGGAGCGCCGGGCAGCCAGAGACAACGTGAAGTCGGGAGACCCCAATCGAAAACCCGCTGGATCGAGGCGAAGCTCCGGGCCAGCCAGGTGGAGAAACGAGTAACCGGGACGAGCAAACGAGCAATTCCGGGACTTCGTTACGTTATACCACCGTAGTCAGCTCCCCTCCCCTTCCCAGGCGCCACGTGTGGGCGGCGGGAAGAACGCAGTGTCCGACGCAGTGGCGGCGGAACACCTTCAATTAAGGGGGGGGGGGGGCACTGCCGACTTTTGGTCCCATTCTTTCCATGCAACGCCCATAGGGCTAATGTTAAAATGCCAAAATCAAAGGGGACACGGTGCCCCGGTGCCCTCCCCGTTTCGCCGCCGATGCACACTGGTCGGAAACGCCCTCACGAGAGGCCACGGGCGATTCCGGAGTTTCGGATTATTTTTTATATAGATCGATTTGAAATTGATCAAATTATTATACTTAAGCCAAAAAAACTAATCCGGGTGACCAAAAATAGCTGTAATCAGCCCCCGAAGATGGGGTATCCTAGAACTCGGAAACTGACGCGGAGCAAGAGGTTTCTTGAGCCGGATATTCAGAGTCTTATTGCTGATAGACACCAAATTGAAATCCCACATATTATGCATCAAAATGTTCGTTATGAAGTTGCCGACTGGTCAGTGCAAAATTTTTGGTATACTTTTTCCCTAACTAAGATGTACTATAGCTTTTTTATGAAGGCTCTCCTACAGTGATTCTGGAATATAACTGCAAAGTTTAGGTAAGGAAACAACAGGTAGTCCCATCTAGTTCCACTCTGATTTTTTGTGAGATGAAGTAGGATTTAAATTTACACCAGGGCAACATAAAAGCTAACTGCGCATATTTGCGCAAAATTTGCAGGAGCCGCTCTTCCTACCCAACTACCGCCCGCCCCGCCCCAGTTTCGGCTCGGCCGCCGCGCCCGGCTTACGCTGACCTGTGTGGCCTGCACGCATCCATGCGTAGTTGACTGGTCATTAAAAACAGATGCGCTTGAGTTCATGAATTTTGTGAAAAGCGCGTTTTATGTATGCATTTATGTATGTATTGACATCAAAAGCCTTCCACATATTGCGTGGCGATTACGGCTTGCATTTAGAGAGCCTTGCTATTGACAACCATCACTCGGCTGAAGAAAGTGGAAATTGAAACCTTCGTGAATATAAGACGCTGCAAATATAGGACACCTGTCACTGACGTCGGGTTACCTTGGGCCGTCTTTTTACATTAGATCACAATTCCGGTATTTAACCCTGGCCGGACCGATTGGTTTTCTATATTGACCGGGGAGGGTTGGTACAAGTCCCTCGCCGTTTCGCGTCTAATTGAGCTAGAGCCTCGCGGAAAAAACAAGTTTGTGTGCCGTTATAAGACGCAAAAATTAGGTACTACCCGATTTTAAGGTCTTAGGTCAGCCAGTGACCTCTTAGGTCAGGTAAGTGCCACAAGGCACGGGCTCGGTTTTAGGTTAATTACTTTGCCAAAAATGGTCGCACTGCCGCGATTTTGGCATCATCGTGTTTGTCTAGCTCAGGCGCGTTGAATGCTATACTTGGTGTTCGGGTGAAGTCAACTTAACCCTATTCCTGGCGGGCTCCGCTGGGAAAAGAAACTGGCGGGGGGCCGATTCGGCCCCCCCCCCTTCAGATCTAAAAAACTACACATCGCAGCGACAAACGGCAAACGGCATTTGATAGGTCGTTTAAAGATCTACAACTTTTACATAAAAAATTTCAGGTCAGGTCAATATTGAGGTCACCAGAGGTCATCAACGATAAAATGTTTTGGAATTAGTTACCTATATAACTTTTAAACTAAGAAACATAGAGACATAAAACCAATACATTTTTGATGCTCCGCCGAGGCGATGCGAAATAAGTATGTGATGACCTTCACAGGTCAATTTGAAATTTGACCTGAGGTCAAGGTCAGGTCATTCATCAATGAGGTTGTGGGGTATGGTCATGCTGCATACTTAACGATGCGCCTTGACCAGGCGAGCAGGTTGGTACCACTTACAAGTCTTTAGCGCCATCATGTCGTGATTTATTGACAGAAAAGCGATTTATGACGTCACATGACCTCAGATGACCTTTGCCGGTGCCCCTGTCAATTAGCGGCACCAGGATCATCACTGATGAGATAATCTTCCATAATACTGACAGAATTGGGTGGTTTTGACTCGTTTTACACGAAGCAGGAGGCGTTTCAATATTTTCCCATAGGCTTGCAATGTAAAGGTCACGAGTCTGGCCTGACCTCAGGTCACAGATATGAGAATTCTGAGATATACAAATTGCACATACTGGTACCCTAACTAAAACCTGAAGAGAAGAACTTGATCGGCCAAAAACTCTAGCTCTGGCGTGATTGCAAACTTTTCTGAGGTGGGGTCACCAAGCCGCCTCTGGTGACCTGACCTGACCTGACCCGGCAACTTTTTTTTTGTCAAAATGTGCGCAATGAATGTTTAGAAAAAGTCACCGAGTATGAGCTTTCAGTCTTGCGGCGTTTGGCAATGGCACAAGAAAAACCCGAAGGGGGGCCTTAAAGCCCCCCCCCCGCCAGGAATAGGGTTAAGGTGTTAACCTCGGGTCAAGGTCAGGTCGGAGCCCCTCAGGTCACGAAAATGGTTGAAGGAGGGCATATCATTCGATTCGGCAGGTCTTCCTTTTTTTATAAATTTAGTCCGAACCTTTTGATGGGAAGGATCCACAAGGACAGAGCCACCGCTAAGCGAAGCTTGTTGCGGTGACCCTACCCTCTACCCTCCGATCGCGCAATTCCAGTTCTATGGCAGAATTTAGAGTCCAAAGTTTAACCCGCGCCCTGCTGGGGGGGGTGTTTATACACCCCCCTTGTGGTTTTTCGCGAATATCTCA